TGAGTGAGTGAGTGAGTGAGTGAATGAGTGAGTGAATGAGTGAATGAATGAATGAATGAGTGAGTGAATGCATGAGTGAATGAATGGAGTGAGTGAGTGAATGGAGTGAATGAGTGAGTGAGTGAGTGAGTGAGTGAATGGAGTGAGTGAGTGAATGAGTGAGTGAATGAGTGAATGAATGAGTGAGTGAGTGAATGAGTGAGTGAATGAGTGAATGAATGAGTGAGTGAGTGAATGAGTGAGTGAATGAGTGAATGAATGAATGAGTGAGTGAGTGAATGAGTGAGTGAATGAGTGAATGAATGAATGAGTGAGTGAGTGAATGAGTGAGTGAATGAGTGAATGAATGAATGAGTGAGTGAGTGAATGAGTGAGTGAATGGAGTGAGTGAGTGAGTGAGTGAGTGAATGGAGTGAATGAATGAATGAGTGAGTGAGTGAATGAGTGAGTGAATGAGTGAATGAATGAATGAGTGAGTGAGTGAATGCATGAGTGAATGAATGGAGTGAGTGAGTGAGTGAATGGAGTGAATGAGTGAGTGAGTGAGTGAGTGAATGAGTGAGTGAATGGAGTGAGTGAGTGAGTGAATGAATGTTCATCCAGTCAGCACATAAAAAAAAAAAAGTCATTGATTGAATACAAATCAAATCTGTTTAGATTTTCTGTTGTCTGAAAACATGAACAGATTTGAGAAGTGTTAAATCAATCAAAACAGATTTGAGACGGATGTTTAAAATAAAGTAAAAAAAAAAAGTAAATAAATAAATGAAAAATTTCGCTGCCTGCTTGAACAAAGTCATCGAACAGAAATGAGTGCCAGCAGCGTCAGTGCCAACATACAGCCTGACCTACATGTACAGTATGTACAGTCTCTCGGCTGACCTACATGTTGGGTTATGAAGCATAAGGCTCGAAGAGACTTACATACTGATGAAAAACACCAAACACAGATTTAAACGGACAGCAGAATCACAAATAAACGCAGCCTTTGAGTTTGCCGAAGCATGCAGACTTTAATTACACTACAAGTTTTCTTCTAGCAACTGATGTTAGGAATGAGATCCTAAAGCAGCAGCAGAACCAGGGATATAAATGAGCAGGTGGAGGTTTAGTGCAGCGGTTGAAGACATTTATCAATGTCACAGCAGAAACACACAGGTGGTCGACAAGAGATGAAGTCGGGAAGCTGCGAGAACATAAAGCCAGCCACCGTCTACCCAGATGTTATTTTTAGCGCATCACCCCTCCTCCTAAGAGCCAACATTGTTTCCTCGGTAGCCCTGCTTCCTTAGGTCTCCCAAGAAACTGCCTCCCATCGCCATGGCAACAGGAGCCTTGTCACCGCTAGCGACTCTGAAGAACGCCGGTGTCCAAAAATACAGCGTGAGTGAGTAAGGTCGAGTAATGTTGAGTGGGATTATGGGAAAAGCCAGACCAACAGTGTTATTTTACCATCACTGATATACTATTAGTTTTTGTTAATATTCTGAATTAGTTTTCAAACTATTTTGATCTAAACTATTTTGAATAGTTTTCAAACTATTTTGATCTAACATTGTAATTTTAGATCAAGTTGTAGTTTTTCTGTTGTGTGTTTTTGTCATTTTTATTCATTTTAGTTTTGTGAATGTCTATAAAGTAATTAAGTTTGAATTTTTAGTTTGAGTTATTTTATTACTTCAAAATAAACTAAACAAAAATGCAAAAATGTTTTTTTTTTTTTGAACCATCGATATACTATTATATATTTTGTTAATATTTTTGTTAATATTTTGAATCAGATTTTATTTGTACCCTTTAGTTTTTATTGCAATTTTAGTTCAAGTTTTAGTATTTTTATTGTTTTTTTTCTTTATTACATTTAATCCTTTTGTTCTGTGTTTGTCATTTTTATTATTTATAGCTTTATTTATTTATTCATTTTAAATAACTTTTTTAAGTTTTAGTTTATTTACTTTTAGTTATTTTAGTACTTTAACATAAACTGAATGAAAATGAGAAGCGATGACTTGCCAACTAGCTAAAATTAGTTTTTAGTTTTTTTATATATATATTTTTTCAAAACTTTATATATATATATTCTTTAATGGTTTTAGCAATAAATAACCCTGCTGAGGTCCAGCCTAAAACTAGCTTTATTCCAGCTGTAAATTCCTCCCTAGTAAATTCCATCACTAAAAGTGACTACCCAATCCACTACCGCTGTGCCAAACCAACCATTCTTTGCGTTTGAGACAGAATTAGGCTCTTTTGGTTCAGTCAGATCAA